ATACAGCTTCGAAGCAAATTAATTCTGATAAAAAATTTAATTCAGTTTCAAACCATTGAATTTGATTTCAATTTTTAAAATTCATTTTCAAATCAGTGCATTCAATTTCAAATTATGCACATGCAGATTCAATCTGAGCAAATCAAATTCAGTTCCTGCTGGCACAACATTTATCCCATATATAACCATGTTCTACTGAGACAGCAGTTTGGAGAAAAATTGTGTGTATTGTGTTGGTTGAAGGAAGAACAATCATTTTATTTACACAAAGTCAACACATAACTTCCTTGTTTTGAAATAACTGGATGGTTCAAACCTTGCTGTRAAACTTTTGTTTTCTTGGGTCATGAAACATCTGAATCGTATTTGGAAAATAAACAAGTTGAAAACAAATATTTAGCAGTTTCATGTATTTACAATTTAGAATTTTTTTATCAGTAAACTTTGATTTGTCAATGCTAACACTATTTTTACACCGGCATCATCTTGTATAATTTGAAAAWCAAGTTTAAATTTAGATTTTATCATCTGTGCAATTCAAGATTTTTTTTTCCTATTGGAATTCAGGCAGGAGAAGTTTTAGCTCTCCATATATTTGGGAAAATCCTCTTATAATGACACGGATCTAGTAATTATAAGGTCTTCATCTCTTAATTGCAGTGTATAGATCTCATAATTACAAGATCTGTCTTGCTGCCTTGGAAACAGCTTTAGTCAAAGTTGACTGGCAGCCAGTTGTTGATGCATGAGCTTCCTGCTTGATGTTAATGTGGATGCTTAGGATGGTGGGATGTTCTGCAGCAACAAAACGCCTCCTAATACTCCTGAAGGAATTCCTGTGAACAAAGATGGAACAAAGCTCTCATGGGATGTGTTGGAACTTGGAGTTTGCGTTGCGGCTAACCCCTCAGCTATGGCCACATCAAATTGTAGCTCATTATGTGTAGAGATGAGTGAGTTGACGCCATTTTTGTCTAAGGCCAAAAAATGTGAAGATCGTGTTTACAGCTTTTTGGCTTGTATGCCTGGAAGTRAAAACACCAGGAAGGTTGTGGAACCTCTTGAAACAAATCAGTTGGCTTTACATTAAGACTTGTGTTTTTGTTTGCCTGTTTATTTTTTTTTGATCAAATCTCGTAAAACTCTAAAACTCTCTTTTTTTTTCCCAGGACTCCGCAAATAAGAGATGTTGAACTTCTTAGTTAAATAAAAATAAAAGAAAAAAATGGTTGCTTGTAACAAGATCAGAAGAGTTTGCACTTCTCTATTTTGTGATCAATTTTAGTCATTTACTTTAAAAGGTAGGGCATCAACAAGTCTCTGTTTAGCTTTAGTGTATGTGTATATAACTCATTTCCTTTCTGATTATCTTGCACAAAACTTTCAGTCCAAGTATTTCCAGCCCGTGGTTTTCTGTGCTCAGGTTTGCAAAGATGTCGTCGATGTGGCAGCAGGAGTCGAGTTACTCCCCCTGTGTAGAGATCGACTCCAGCTCCGTGAGGACCAAAGACCGACATGGCTCCACCAGCTGGCTGAAGCAGGAGCAAGACGAGCTCCGCATCATCAAATGGGAGAACTTCCAAACTGGCCCTTCAGCAGATGCCGTTCAGGACAACACGCCCAGCAGTGCCATGTCTGGTAAGACCCCTTCAGTCTCTGGTTATGAGACATCTTGGATCGATGTGATGCTGTGTGTCTCAGTGTCGCATTGTCTGCAAGTGAAATCTTCTCACCCGATGATGTTTGCTTCCAGCTGCTTCAAGTTTTGAAAGCTTGCCCCCGAGGGTGTTGCTGACCATCACGAAGCTGCAGTGCATGCTGGAGAGCAAACAGGAACGCATCGCCGCACTTGAGAAACAGGTAGAGGACCTGATGCAGGACCGCAAGTTTCTGCGCAGCCAGATTGAAAACCTCACAAGCAATCGCTCGATGCCGGCGTTTGCTACACCCAGTTCTGTACTTGAAGGTCAGTGACTGAGCTGGAGCTGTTTGTTGCTTTGATTTACAAAGGTTAATGCTTATTCATGTGTTCTGGTTGTATTTACTCTGGGGTTTTTTTATGTTCACAGTTCCTAAATCAAGCAAGGTGCAGCCTTCAGAAAAATCTCGAAAGAGGGAAAGGGCTTCTTCTAGTTCCTCGGCCAGCAGTGACACGGGCTCCGAGGGGTCCGACTCTTCAGAGGTGTCCGCTGTTTCAAGTGAGCACAGGAGGAAGAAACACCACAAGGACAAGAAAAGATCAAAGAAAGGGAAGGACTACAGCAGGAAGAGAGGTGAGCAAAAGACTTTAAGAGCTGAACCTTGCACCAGTTCACTGACCACCAAACAGTATTTATGGCGATAATATCCAAACTTTATGTTTGACGCATGGACAAGTCGAGTACCTTCAGTTTGGAAACACTTTAGGAATAAGTAAAAGTAAAAATTGATGTTGTTGATGTCGGGACAGAAAAGAATTGAGAACCATTGATCTACAGCAGAATGACAAGCAACCCCTCTCAAACCAGTCGTATCTCCAAAGAACCCAACAAAACAAGATAACAGTTTTAAATCAGAACCACAAAAATGTGCTTTGGCACTGATGAACAGTTCAACTAATCTTTACCTAATAATGAACAGATAATCCCAGCATTGCCAAATGCTTCGTTTGTGGTGAGTTAATGGTTTTATGCTTTTCACCTCCACATTTACTGGGATTATTAAGGGCTTAAAAATAGGAATGTCCCGATCAGATACTCAATATCGGTATCTGAGGCAGATATGGCCGTTTTCTGAAAATCAGGTAGAATCAGTTTTAGTCATGATCGGCTCGATCCAGTTTTCATGACAGTTTTCAGCATCATCCTGCTTTACAACTGCCGTTAAGAAGTCAAGACGCACACAAATATGCAACCATGTCCACAGTGTGGGAACACTTTTCAATGGAAAACAATGATGCTGAAACTGCAGCTTGCTAAATCTGCAAACTGGATGTTTCTCATGGTGGGAACAGCAGGGCTCGCTTTAATMCTACCAACCTTGTCATTTGGAAAGACATGAAATAAAGCTATCGGATCGGTATCGGAAAGACTAATCGTTAAAAACATCGGATTTTATCAGGAGCCAAAAAATCTGGATCGGGACATCCCTAGTTAAAAGGCAAGTCTATCATGAACTGATGATAATGAAGACTTATTTAACAACAGTGGTGACAAAAAGTGAAACTGATGGTGATAAAATGATCAAACAGTGAGGAAATCCTGACCTGCTGAGGATGACTCACTTTACGATAACAGCCACAACATTTTAATTAATAGTTAATCATTATCCTGCTCATAAAATCATTTCTGTGTCCTGTTATTTCTTTCCCATCAGCCACTGGTGTTCAGTACGTCATTCAGCGCTACAGGCAAGTCCTCGCAGCCTTTATCAAGAAGAAAAACATGAGCGAAGCCTTTCGCCACCTCGGAATCGACAGGAACACCATCGCCAACACGGCGTCGATTGCTGAGCTGCACCTGGCTGACAAAGACATGGTGCCTCTGGTGGGCATGTTCCGCCAAGGAGAAGAGACTCTGGTGAACTACGCCCAGCGGTGCACCATGGTCATCGACAGCGACGCCGAGCTGGCCAGGAAAATAGACCAGATGAAGGCCAACGGCGAGCTGCTGCCCATCTCAGGRAAAAGACCGAGGTTGTTGCATTCTCACATTCAGGCACTGGGGGGCGCCACGGAGAGCATTTTAATAGGTTGATGGCTTATTAGCTTTAGGAACAGGTGGGACCTGTAAGTGGGACACTACTTTGCAAAAAAAAAAAATTCCTCCTTTAAACTGTACTTTTATGTAGCATTTATTTAATTCTACACTATGTTTCAAAGGGACTAGATGTGTTTAAGGATTATGGTACATTTTTATAATAATATTGTTTATTTTCTTCTTGGTTATTTGAAATGTTTGTAGAAGTCACTTTCATAGAGATGTTCTTATTTCACCATTTTAATGTCTGCAGTAACAGAAATGTCCACAAGATGGCAGTGTTGACATGATGGATCATTCTCACCAATCACCTCTTGTCATTAATTTTAAAATGGTGGTTAGACTGTGTCCTTTTTCCAGTAATTACATTTTTATTTGGGGTGTTTGAACTTTTTGTTGAAACATCTTATGTGATTCATTTTACTAGACTTACGAATGAACGCAACTTGTTCATAAAAAGATTTTGTTTTCAAGACAATTTACAGAGTCTGTTTTAAAGTTACTGAACTGAGATTAATGGCAGCGGGTTGCAGCTGTGTGGTCGAGGGAATATTTTTAAATTCTTGGAGGACTGCATGGACAGCTCGGTGACACATCCTTGGCTAATGGTGTCACAGCAAAGTGTTGTCATTGCTTTTCCTGCTGTTTGCTTTTCGCCCGGAGTGACAAATTACTCGTTCGAAGCCATTACGAGGGCTGCACCCGCACTGTTTATCTTTTCACGGGCCTCCGTCACTGTCACTCTAATGCACATTCGCTTATCATTCATTCACATCTCAATCTTAAACCTTCACCCTCCTCTGSTATGAACTTATTCAGTCATTTCTTGTTACAGATTGTTGTTCTTCAGGTTCCCCTTTTTTAATGTCGGTAAAATCTGGTCAAGAGGTTAACTGAGGCAAAGTGACTGAAGCAAACAAAGCTGCTGTCAGCCTGTTCACAGCCTGAGGGGACAGGTGCATGCTGGTCTCCTCAGCAGCATGACGTTAAAAAGAAAAAAAACTGCATTTTTCTGCCAGCATTCTTCCATTTTCCGCCTCCTGAGGCATGCAGAYGTCACTCCAGCTCCACGAGATTTAACAGTTTCCTTTAAAATCCTGAAACGGAGTAAAGGTCGAAGATTTTAGCCTCAGCTGGAAGTTTGGCTGCGAACACTCAAAGGTATAACAGTGGATGTGAGGGTTAATGGCTCGGGGTGATGGAGCTGAAAGCTGATGGAGATGAGGATGTGGGCCTAATCGAGCTTGAAGCGGTCTGCGCTCCTCCCCCGGCTCTTTGACTCGCTGCTATGCGAGGCCAGCTGGGATTCATTTTGAGCCTTTGGCTGCAGGTGCCACGTCACCGCTCAGCCGCCCCACCACCACCGAGCGTCCCTCCTCCTTCCTGTCCACCTTTGTTGCGCCTGACCTTGACAAAAACAGCGTCTGGATGTTCTCGCAGAGAGCAGCTTGTCATAACCAGCAATCACCGGCTTAATGGTGGAAGTAAAATGCGTCTGAACTGGTGGTTTCACTCAGGCTGGGGTTGTGTTCTGTTGTGCTAAACCTGCTGAACAAAAAATGTATCAGACCTATTATGTAAAGGATTACAAGGCTTGTAATGGAGCAAAAGAGCTCAGAYTGGTGAAATGGAGCTTTGGGAACAATAAGCATAAACAGGGTAAGTGAGATTATAGTTTGATGTTAAGTAACAGTTCTTGTGTTTGGGCCTGTTTATGACAAAATACACAAGTTATAAATTTTTTCTATCTTGTGTAAGTAAGAAGATGAGCCTAATGAAGGACTAAAAAAGAGCAAGAATTTTGAGAAATGCCCTCTAAGCTAAAGGTGAGTAAATGAAAAAGGCGATGTGAGATCAAGACACTAAAAATCCAACAGACAAAAAAAAAATAAAGCTATTTCAAAGTATGATACAGTAAGAYGAGCAGGCATAACAATGGTAAAGGGCTGACGAGACAGGTGAAACCGATCGAGACTAGTTAAACAGACCAGCTCAACATGCAGGGATGGAGACAACCAAAATAAAACAAAATGCAAGGAAAMATTTAAGAAGTACAAACAAGAGAGAAGATTAATGATAAGACAGTTAAGAAACATTAAGGAAAGGTTTAACAACAGGCACACTGCAAAGGAATTTAGGGAGCAAACATACAAATCATGATACGGTTTTTGAAAAAGACAAAATTGTTTAACAGAATTTGAGTTTGTAGTAGTACATTTATTTTTTTATTTATTTATCTTTGTTATCTCTAAGTAGTTAAAATCAAAACATCTCCAACCACACTCCATACCAGTAGGTTGCAGTAATGCACACCTTTCGTTTCTTGTCTACCGCTCTTAAAATCCACAAGCAGAAGAAGGACTGATTTAAAACCAAATCTGAAAACAKGATAAAAACACAAAATGCATGCAACAAAAATCTCCAARACCAAACACCACGTCATGACGTTCTTCTATTGTTTTTCCTTGAATTTCCCACYGAAGGGACCTTAATGTTTAGATGTTTTTGAAGAATGTTTTTTATGGAAAGGTGATGAACAAGCACTATCTTACCTGTTGTACAGCACTCATTGATTTTTTTTTAATAATTACAAATCTAACCAGATTGACGAGCTAATATTATCAAAACTGTCTTAAAATAACTCCAGTCTCAAATGTCATGTGTAATTCAGTTTTAAATATTTATGCACAACATTTAGTTGAACATTAAGCTGTTTATTTAAGCAGAATATTCACTATTCATGCAGGAAGTCCCTAAGTAGCTCTGAAAGTGCTACAGCTAAAAACTGTTCTACTTGTGCTTATATACACTATAAACACAAGATTCAACGGAAATGTTGGTGTATTATAAAACAGCATTCACAAAAATCTACTGTAAAATCTTTTAAAATGGCACCAATCCTCTTTGGTCCTGACCTTACTCAAACTCGCCATTAGCTCGTCGGTCTGGTCAAAATTAAACTATATTTTTCTAAAATAGAAAACAAATTTCTTTTATTAATTGTCTGTGTTATTGTCATTTTTATTTCCGTGGCTCATTTAAAAAGTCTTACAAGTAAATTGTTGTTATATCAAACATGAAAAACATCAAATTTATACAAAAAAAAATCAAACATATTCATTAAAATATACGGAAAACCAGAAATTACCACAACATAAAAGATGGGATGAGACTCAGACTGAAATTGAAATAAAAGCTGACATAAAAGGAAGAGTTTTCCATCAGAATTTAAAATAGTTTCTAAATATAATGCGATCCATTTCCATAGATATGAATTGTCACGCAAACCAAACAGTTGCCTGTTCTTTTCGCGTGTTTTTTGAGTAATCAAAAGCCATCTTTGTCACCAAATAATCAGAAATTAAATCTCTGAGCTTCGTCTGAATGTTGTTTACTGAATAATTCTGCAGGATGACAGCAGCGGTAAGTCTGATCCACCATCTAACTGGTTGTGGTGGGAGGCACTAGAGGACAGTGTTGTATTCAGGACACACTGCTCATGCAGAGACACCTCCATCATAGTGCCAGATGTGTCTTACACCAAGCACAAGTGTGTTTTTTTTTTTTTTTTTTAAGAAAAACACTTACCATATCAGTTCTTCCTCATATGTTTTTTTTCCCCATTAAAGTGTTTTTAAATCGAGCCAGGGAGCAGTCATTAATTAAATTTCCTATTGCAGCTGTCTGGTTAAAAAAATGCAACAATGCTAATCTCGAATCACACAACCTCCCCACAATTACAGCCTTTTTTTCTTTTTTTTTTTTTTTTGCCAGTGCTGCTCGATCAACAAGTCTTGAGGCGTTGCTCGTGTGCTCTCCATCTGGTTGTCACTGATAAGAACTTACTGCAGGCTGCAGGATAATAGTGTTGCAAGCTTAAAAGCACAGAAAAGGGGGAGCATGATGCATTCTGGGTGGGGGAATCTAGCAACCCCATGCAGAAAACCTATTCCCCCACCCTCCAGCCCCTCTTCCTCTGAATGTATTTTGGGGATGTAGTGGGGGGTGGGTGAGGACGTCATGCTGCCAAAGACAATTTGCCATGAACGTGGGAGGGGGGAGAAACAAAATGGCTGTGCACGATGTGAGTTGCAGCGTGTTTGCAGTACAAAATGTGAATGATGTAGCAGAATTGCAAAATCAAGAATGACCTGTATTTTTCCTTTGCAGTAGGAAACATGTTAATGGCTTTAGTTTTCAGGACAAAAGGCAGTTAGTGACTGTGTTTTTGATTTGCCCCTCAATCTCCAAATACATTCTCAGCAGAGAGAAATGGAAGTTTGCTGCAAGCGCCAACAGTTTTGTTTCGGGGACAGCGGCACACTGCACGTTTTGTGCAAGTGGAACTGAGAACAGCAGGGATTATTTAGTCAATTTAAATTTTGACACAAAGCCGAAGACGGTATGAAACCATCTTTGTGTGTATGTGTGTGTGTGTGTGTGTGTGTGTGTGTGTGTGTGGGGGGGGGTCCTCAATCTTTAGCCCCAAAACAACCGTGCCCACGTGAGAAGACGACGGTGTGTGTGACGCAGACAAACACGCAAAATGCCAGCGTGAAATAAACCYAACTCCACCCTCCCATCCTTGTTGGTTGCTTGTCCGGTGACGCAGGACACGTTCGGCAGCGAGCAGACCRAATGCAGCCGACTCAGACGGTGAAGGCATTACAAAATATGTTTTAGGATATTTGCTGATCCGTTTGCCTCAAAAATCATGTGCCACTGGTAGTTTTGGTTAAGCTCCTGATGCTTGTGGACAAAGGACCCATCACTGCTGACACATTACACTGAAACACCGATGACATGGATGCACAGGGGATGATTTAACTGGAGCATTTGAAAGTGGGGACTGGAAATAAATATTGGCTGCATGCTTGACCTCTTCAGCAGAGTCTTACCAGCTGTCCTTCATGATTTCTGAAGGGACATTTAAGCCACACGTTTGTCAAAACTTTAAAATGTGAAAGACACAAACAAAAGTGAGCTCTCCTCCCATTTAGTAAAGAGAACTAAACTGTTTGAAAGATGAGWAACTTGGCTCTGGTGATGGTGGTGTTGGTCTGTCAGTAGATGTTGTTTGTCTTTAGGTTAAGTCCAGATAAAATTTGATTTTGTAAAAGGAAAAAAAAAACTTAATTGAGGAATAAAATATTACTGCCAGGCTATGAGAAGCTGGTGGTGATGTAAAGGTTTATAAATGGAGTTTGCATAAAAAAGTTTCTGAGACTGGAGTTTTTCAAGAACAAATGGTTCGCCCATTCTGATTAGTCCAGTTTGAATTAAACTCTGTTTCTTTTTACTGAAGTCAATTGAAAATCTTTCTACAACAGGTAATTAATTAATTATTTGTTCCTAACCTTTCTATAGAACCGCAATTCAGACGATCTTAAATATATTTTTAAGTAGTCTGAGCATTCTTGAACATTTTTAAAATAACATTTGAAACTAGTCCTTTAAGAGTATATGATTTAATAGTTT